GTTGATGAATATTTCGCACGTGTAGAGAAATTTTCGAATGATGGATGTTTATTTATAGGGAGACTTAGTCGTGTTTTTCGTATTATTCGATACCATCGTATAAACGTAATTTTTTTTCCTCCCCTCCCTCCATTGAGCTTTTATAACCCCATTTCGCGATGTATAAATTATTAAGCCATACCTTAAAGAAGATTGCATCCGGGAAAGAAGAAGATTCGAGGCGAAGTTTCGAGAGGGGAAGGGAGGAAGAAACTTTTACTCTACTCTCCTCCTTTTTTCTCTTCTTCTTCTAGGGACTCGTTGCACTTATCTCGAATATATTAATTCTCCTCCTTTTGGAGAGCACTGTAGGAATTGTGATTTTTAGATTTAAATAGAAAAATATATACGTACATAATTTAAGCGAAGAAGATTTAAACATCTTTCCGCTTGCTTTTAATTCTCTCTCTCTCTCTCTCTCTCTCTCTCTCTCTCTCTCGCTCTCTCGCTCTCTCTCTCTCTCTCGCTCTCTCGCTCTCTCTCTCTCTCTCGCTCTCTCGCTCTCTCTCTCTCTCTCGCTCTCTCGCTCTCTCTCTCTCTCTCGCTCTCTCGCTCTCTCTCTCTCTCTCGCTCTCTCGCTCTCTCTCTCTCTCTCGCTCTCTCGCTCTCTCTCTCTCTCTCGCTCTCTCGCTCTCTCTCTCTCTCTCGCTCTCTCGCTCTCTCTCTCTCTCTCGCTCTCTCGCTCTCTCTCTCTCTCTCGCTCTCTCGCTCTCTCTCTCTCTCTCGCTCTCTCGCTCTCTCTCTCTCTCTCGCTCTCTCGCTCTCTCTCTCTCTCTCGCTCTCTCGCTCTCTCTCTCTCTCTCTCTCTCCTTCTCTCTCTCCCCCCCTTCTCTCTCTCCCCTCTCTCCTTTCTTCGAAGAGAGAAACTTCGCGAAATTTCGAGCGCCTCGTCTCGTCTCGTCTCGTCTCGTCCCTCTTCCTTTCGTCGCTTTATAATTAATACTAATTTGCATAGTAATAACTCCGCAGCGCAAGAGGAGATTCCGTACCGCGCGTTAAAATTAGATACGAAAATGAAATAAGTTTCATTGTCGGAAATATGGCAGGCGTGTGGTGGCTCGATGCGTCATCGTAAATAGAGCCACGCGCTTCGTTCGTCCGATCGAAATCCTTATCGACTGATTGAAAGAGAGTTGCCTTTGTACTTTAATTGTGGAAAGATTTGCTTAAAGGGAGGAGGGGGGATGATATCGATTAAATATCTTCGATTACTCGCTCGATTACACGATCCGTTGCGCGATGAAATTATAGAAAAATGAAGAGGGGAGTAGAAAAGTTGGGGGAGGAGGGGGTGCGCGCCCTTTGTGCGTCCGCCACCGTTCCAATTCACCCTCAAAGTGGACCAATTGTCTCTCCTCTCTAGCTACCGTTATTAAATCTTTTGAAGTTCCCTCCTCCTCCTCCTCCTCCTCCTCCTCCTCGAGGAATTTTTCCCAAGATGGAAATAGTTTTGGATCCAGACGACGAATATTAATTCCAAGAGCCATTACAACTGCGATAATGATAAACGTTGATATTTTCTTGTTTGTTGTATTTAAAACATATAGCTCGAATTTTTCTGAAAGTGAAGCAAATAGTAAATTGTTATTAAATCTTTTGAAGTTTCCTTTCCTCCAGGAATTTTTCTCAAGATGGAAGTAGTTTTGGATCCAGACGAATATTAATTCTAATAGCCATTATTGTAAAAATAAATTATTACGATATCTTTTTGTTTATTTAAGATATACAGTTTGAATTTTTCTCAGAATAAATCATAGATTATTATTAAATCTTTTGAAGTTTCCTCTTCTCCAGGAATTTTTCTCAAGATGGAAATAGTTTTGGATCCAGACGAATATTAATTCTAACAGCCATTAACTGTGATAATGATAATCGTATTTAAAACATATAGCTCGAATTTTTTTGAAAGTGAAGCAAATAGTAAATTGTTATTAAATTTTTTGAAGTTTCCTCTTCTCCAGGAATTTTTTTTAAAATGAAAATAGTTTTGGATCCAGACGAATATTAATTCTAACAGCCATTACTGTAAAAATAAATTATTACGATATCTTTTTGTTTATTTAAGATATATAGTTTGAATTTTTCTCAGAATAAATCATAGATTGTTATTTATTAAATCTTTTGAAATTTCTCCTCGAGGAATTTTTCTTAAGATGTAAATAATTTTGGATCCAAACGACGAATATTCTAGTTCTAAAAACTGTACATTAATGTAATAATAAATTATTACGATATCTTTTTATTTATTTAAAATATAGTTTTTATTTTTTTCAAAGTGGAGCAAATCGTAGATTGTTATTAAATCTTTTGTTGAAATTTCTCCTCGCGGAATTTTTCTATTTACTTATTCATGAAACGTACAATTTCACATTGTAAAAAACCTCAAAGTGGGCACCAATTGTATTTTTCATAAATTATTAAAATTCTATTCTCGCCAACATTTTTTTCTATTTATTTATTTCTTATTTATTTCTATTTATTTATTATTATTTATTATTTATTTATTTCTCTTAAAACGTACATGTTTCAATTCTCCTTAAAATTCCCTTCACAGAAATTTCTTCTCGCGGAATTTTTCTTAAAATGGAAACAGTTTCAAGTTTATCACAATACTTGTGCATCAACATTTTTTCATTTATTTATTCTTAAAACGTAAAATTCCACGTTCCAATTTCCCTCAAAGTGAACCAATTGTGTCTCTTCACAGATTATTAAATCTTTTGAAATCTTTTGAAATTTCTTCTCGTGGAATTTTTCTCTTTATTTATTCTCGAAACGTAAACTTCCACGTTCCAATTTCTCTGTGAAAGTCGACCAATTGTCTTTTCACAGATTATTAAATCTTTTCAAATTTCTTCGAAGCGAAATTTCTCTTAAAATGGGAAATAATTTCACATCTACAACAATACGTCAATATTTTTCTACTTATTTATTCTTAAAACGTACATTTCCACGTTTCTCTCAAAATGAACCAATTGTATTGTCTTGTAATAATAACTCTTAAATCTTTCGAAATTCCTTCTCGCCAACATTTATTCTATAAAATATACACTTCGACGTTCACACTTTCAAGCTTCTTCTGTACGGAATTTTTCTCAAGGATATAATAGTTTCAGATCCGAACAATGAACACAATAATCACCAAAACTCGCTTAACCGATCCATCCATCCAAATCATTTCCCATAATATAATATATAATATAATATAAAATATAATTGTATCGAATAATATATACGCGCAACGTATATAAATAATAAACTACTTATCGATGTTTAAACGCTTCTGCAACGACAAAAAAACTCGACCGTTACAAACGCGATAATTTTTTCCTTTAACTCCATTCGACCAACGAACAACATCCTCTCCCCTCTCTCTTTCTGCCTCCCTCCCATGTTGCGTACTTACACGCCAAATTATCGCGCCAAATTATCGACGGCCGAACGGAACGAAGGCGAAAACGTATATAAAAAAGTATATACCCGATGGGACGACGGACGTAAACCGATCCCCCCTCCTTCCTAGCGAATACAAAGAATCGAGGGAGGGGAGAGGAGGGAAGGAACCAAGGACAGCGCAATATTTGAAATGGTCGCCCCTCTTCTCCTCTCGTCCAACTTTTTCCCGTGGAATCGTGCATTTACTACCATCGCTTCAAAACGGCCGATAAATCCGACCGAAATATCGGAATTACTCGCTGCTACTACCTCTGTGAATTCTCTCACTCTCATACTCACTCTCTTTCTCTCTCTCTCTCTGTATAGAGAATTTTAGCCGGTTGGTTTTCACCGTTCTCCTCGCTGGCCATCTCTCTGATATCTAGCAAAGGGGAACGGAGTACCACCACTCTCCTTTGAAAATTTTGGCCCCGCGGGCCAAGCGGTAATTTGACACGGCGCGAGGATCGATCGTGGCGGATGTGTATCGTCGCGTGAGTGGAAACGACGAACGATTTTCTGGCTCGATGATTACGAAGAAATTTGAAATTTTTTTGTTGCGATATATATGTTTAATTGATTATATCTACTTTATAATATATATGTATATATATATATATATATATACAGAGAAATGAGAGAAATCTTTTTAAAGTAATTTCTACGAGGAAAGGCGCATTGTGATAAGACGGCTTAATTTGAATATTTCTGGTACGAGAAAAGGCACTTAAAATTCCTCTTCCCCCAGATAAGTTCGCGGTGGTTATCTCACGAAGGAGACACGAAAGTTTTATATCATGATTTTATAATCTTCTTTAAATAGTTCCTTCCTTCAACATCCCATCATACCCGGTTCCGCCTATTCTCATTTTCTCAAAATTCTCCAATTTTTTTTTTTTTTTCCAATTCCAATAATCGTTCGAATACGAAACGATCTTCGTTTCACGATCTTCCCTTTCAGGAAAACGCTGCCCTGCTGCAGCTATTCGGCGGCGGAAACTGGTGGCCTCGCGAGAAGTTCCGTCCTGGTCAGGGTCGACCCACGGCCCGGCAGCGCCAATTCCGGAAGCTACGCGACCATCGCCGATCTGGAACCGCTATACGCGAGGCCGTGCGGCTCCAGGGCGAGTTACTACGCCTCCAGCCACGTCACGCATCTCAGTCAGGTATCGTGCAATTAATCACTTATTTCAAATCGCGATCACGAAGGGAATGATATTGACTTTGAGCGGCGACGAGACTGGAAATAAAATTGTCGAGTTTCGAGTCGAGATTAATTTTGAAGAATCGGTAGAATTTTTGTGTTTGAAACTTGAATCCAATTTTTTCCGAATTTTTTTTAATTATTATCGTTCCAAGAAATAACGTAACAGATTTAAGAAACAGAATCGAAAGTAAATGAGAAATTCTTATTATATTATACGTGAATATTTCTTTTTAAGCTGATGGCTGGTATAAAGAATTGTCTTTGAAATTTGAATCTCTTTTTTCCAAATTTTTTTAAATTTTGCATAATCTATTTGTTAGATTGTATTATTCACAAGATATATATATATATCTCAAAATATTCTCGCAGGTATTCGTTGCACTAAGTCAAGATCAATTTCAAGCTCGTGAATGTTTCTCCTTAAACTGATGGTTGATAGAATTGTTGTCTTTGAAATATGAATCCCTTTTATCCGAATTTTTTTCAATTATTAGATTGTACTATATTATTCACATAATATACATATCTCTCGAAATTAAAATGCTCAGCTACTGAACAATATCATTTCCAGAAATAATTCAACAGGTTTAAGGAATGGAAACAAAATCGAAAGTAAATGAGAAATCCTCGTTGCACCAAGTTAATCAATTTCCAACTCGTTTCTCTTTAAGTTGATGATAATTTAATTAATTATCGTCTCTGAAATTTGAATCCCTTTTTTCCACATTTCTTTTAATCGGTTTGTATATTATTCACACGATACACGATATCTCACGAAATTAGAAAATAGCTTTCGCAGCCACGACTGAACGGTAACACACGTTGCCTGAAATAACGTAAACAAGTTCAAGGAGTGGAAACAAAGTCGAAAGTAAATGAGAATCGTATTTTCCCTCTTCGTCCGTTCCTTCTCTCTCTTTCTCTTTCTTTCTCTTCGAATACCACGCCGTTCTTTCGCACGAGACAGAGACGATACGATTACTCCTCTCTTTCAGCTCTTTCAGCTTCGTCCACGTCGCGTGCAAGACGAAAGAAAGAGAGAGAGGGAAAGAGAGATACGCTCGAAACTTGATCGAATTTGCGGTCGTGGGGAGGGTGGAGCGAGGGCCGTTTTCCGCCAACAACTCCTCCTCCTCCTCTCTCCCTCCTCTCCCTCCTCTCCTCTTTATTCACTCTATTTCAAACCTTCCTCACGCTTGCCTCCGGAAACTGGTACACGTGTTAAATCCCTTTTCCCTTCCTGTTCTTTCTCCCTTTCGCTCCTCTCGGAATCTTGTTGTTGGAAGGTTCTCCTTGGAGAGATGCTCTCCTCTTTGGGGAAGGGAAGGGAAGGGTTGGAAGGAAGGTTTGTTCATGGAGGAACGTCTTATGTACACTTGATTTGCGATACGAGAAGCGAGAAAGAGGATACATTTTTTCTTTTCTCTTTTTTTTTTTATTTTTGGATGGATAATACTTGTTAACATTTACCAATCTTGAAGCTGTGAAAGAAAAAGAAAGGAATATTAAAAGAAAGTATTATTAACGAATATATCAAATTCTTCGTTCTTTTTTTTTTTTTTTTTTGAGAGGAAATGAAAAAAGATTTTTTTTTTTTTTTGGGGGGAAAAAAAAAAAATTTTTTTTTTTTCCCCCCAAAAAAAAAAAAAAATCTTTCTTCCTTTCCCCACAAAAAAAAAAAAAAAAAATCTTTTTTCATTTCCTCTCAAAAAAAAAAAAAAAAAAGAACGAAGAATTTGATATATTCGTTAATAATACTTTTTTTTCTTTCCCAGCTTCAAAAATAGTTAAAATATTAACCAGTATTATCCATCCCTTTATCCACTCAAAAAAAAAAAAAAATCTTTCTTCCTTTCCCCACAAAAAAAAAAAAAAAAAATCTTTTTTCATTTCCTCTCAAAAAAAAAAAAAAAAAAGAAAAATTAAAAAAAAGTATTATTAACGAATTATCAAATTCTCCATTTCGTTTTTTTTTTTTTTGTTTTGGAAGAGGAATTTTTTTTTTGAATAGATAAGGTAATGGATAATACTAGTTAATATTTTCCAATTTTACTTATTTTTGAAGCTATGAAAAAAAAAAGAATATTGAGAAAAAATATTATTAACGAATTATCAAATTCTCCATCTCGTTCTTTTTTCTTTAATACTTGTTCTTTTTTAATACTGGTTAACATTTTCCAATCTGCCATATTTTAAAGCTATGAAAACAAGAAAGAAAGAATATTGAAAAAAAAGTATTATTAACTTAAATTATCAAATTCTCTACTTCCCCCTATATACCCCACGACCAAACGAGATAGTAACTTTAATATTATTCTTTCGATTTGAAACGCAAATTCGAATCCTCCATACCTGTTACAAAGGGGATATTACGACCGAATAATATAATTGCGTAAAACGTTGATCGATGCTCGGGTGAATAATTAATAAAGCGGAGAGAGAGAGTCGACAATTTACAATTTGGATGGCGGTCGTCGAAGCGAGCTCGCTCGCCTTCTTTTCTCGTTCTTTTCGCGTCGAGGAACGCGATCCCAGCGATCTCTTTGTGATCGCACAGAATTCGAATTTCAATGGGAACCGGGGTAAAACGAAGGAGAGGAAGGGGCGATGCGCCTTTTGTTGCTCGGTAAAGAAGATCCCCTCTCGATCGACTCATCGAAAATTGACGCCGAGCAGCATATTTCGTATATCTTCCAAAATTTCTTATACACAGAAATTGCACAGAAAAAATTATAAATAAAAAGAAAACCTGAAAAAGAATGAAAAAGAATCCTATTGTAAAATTATTTCGTATTTAAAATTTAATATCAATTTACAAGCTTTAATACTCTTACAACCGTTGTATTATAATTCTCACGTATATCTGTAAAAATCTGAAATCGAATCTCTCTCTCTTTCTCTCCCCTTCGTTTAAAACGAGGAGAAAGAAGATAAAAAGAGAAATACGTACAAGGAAAGAGAGAGAGAGAGAAAAAAAGGGAGGAGATACAGAGATCGCGCAAATGTCGAATAAATATGCAATGGAGTTTAGAAAGAGCAGCGAGGCATCGCTCGATTCGCGTAACAAAGTCTAGAGGGGCACTTTCCGCCCGCGAAACGAGCGTTTTACATTAATTTCCCGGGGAAAAAGAAAGTGGGGTACTACCACCTGTGCTCTTCGCTATTCAAAGAGGTGGAGAGAGAAAGAGGGGTTGGGCGAAAAAGGTTACACACGCGGTTACCTTCTTCCTTCCTCTTTCCAAGGAACCCTTGTGAGTGGAAGAGAGAAAGAGAGAGAGAGAAGTTGGAAGTGGGTCTCCTCCTCCTGTGATTGTTTCGGCTTTGATCTTGGATCAATTTACCGGGTATATACGCGTATATGCCTCTTCCTCCTCCTCCTCCTCCTCCTCCTCGTCTGAAACGCGCCACCAACTTTGTTGCACCGACACGAGAGAGAGAGAGAGAGACTTTATAGAAACGCGTGTAGATAGCGATGGGTTCGAGTACGTCGCGAAACCATTGGAACCACTTCGATAAACTCAAAGAATTCTTTGTAAGCATTGTATAAGAAAGGTGATCATAAGATCTTGAAAAAGTTTTTCGCTACTCAATGAATTTGAATTTTGAATTTTCGTTCGTATTGTGCACATAAATTTATTAATATTACATTTATGGAATAAAAATTGATAAAAATGTTATTCCAAGTAATGGGAGTAGAGTTCATCGGTAAACAAAGAAATAAATAAATAAGATAAATCACATGTATAGATTGAAATGAATTTAATTGAAGTTGATATTAAAAAAAAAATTTCAATTTATATATTTCGTACGTAAACAGAGAAAATTTAATTAATCAATCGACGAGAATGACTAAAATTCCAATTTTAAAAAAATATATATATATATATATATAAAATTCGGATGATTTTAAAAAATTAATTAGTCTCAAATGAAGAAATAATTATTACAAAATATCAACTTACAAAACTCATCATTTCGAATAATCGAACTTGTGTCACTTGTGTTCCACTGCACTCGATCCCATCGCTAAGATCCAAGAGTAAAACCACCCGAGGAGACGCGCGCGAAATATACACGTGTAATACAGAGGAGGTGTGTGCACACACCAACGTTAAGAGGATGGGAAACACGGTTATCCTTTAACCGTGTGCGCAACGATCTCGTTCGCGCCCTCTCTTCTCAAAACTCGCCCAGTCATGTAATCCGGCAACGTCTTATCCCTCTTGTAAAACGATACGCTTGAGATCCCACCCATCGCCGAAGAAGAAGCCATTACTGCTCCTGTCTACCTGAGAGAGAGACTCCAGAGTCCTCTGTGGAACAGATGCGTCTCCTCCTCCTCCCCCTCCCTCCCCGATTTTCCCGATAAACTCGAAAAGGAACAACCGGTCCAATCCTATCCCCCTCCCACCCCCCTCCTTCCGGCCGAGCGAGATAACACCAGTGGCCCGCCACACCAGTCTCTCGACCAATCAGATGGCAACTTTTTAACGGACATATATATGTATATATATATATGTATCGTCGTGCAGCTATTTAATCCTCCGTGTGTATTTTTAATTGCAAATTTTTTTTTGCACGCTCCTGCTGAATCGACGACTCGAAGAGATGGTGTATTGGTATTTTAGACGATTTTCTTCTCTTCCTCCCGCTTTACTTTTACTCTGGTTAAAAAGCAGAGCGGAGAAAAGTCGTGCACTCTCCCCTTCTCTCTTTTCGAAGCATTGAATTATTTAAATAGTTCGTGTATTCATGAAGATAGAGGGGAGAGTAGAGGGGGGGATAGATAGATAGATTCCTTTTACCTTTTGGTTAAAAATACAATGGTCGAACTTGAGATTGAAAGAAAAAAGTGTGGTAAAAGTTTTCAAAGTTTTTCTTTCTCCTTTTCATTTTTCCCTTCTTCTCTGTTCTTCTCGGATAAAAATGGTGAACAAGGTAGGTAAGGGGGATATAAAAGATCGTGAAAGTGGCGGTTCTTTAAAAAAAAAAAAAAAAATTCTCGGATCGTACAATCCGATCCTTCCGTTATTAATTAATCCCTTTGCTTCGCTTTTAAATCGAATCGACGGAATTATTAAATTATCGGAAGGAAGGACGGATATTGTTAATTAATTATCCGACTTCAAGTTGAAAAGTTTCGCTTGGATCGAAAAAAAAAAAAAAAAGAGCTTCGACGTGGCGTGGAATGGCCTTCCCTTAAAAAAAAAAAAAAAAAAAATGAAGGCAAGTGGGCTGCCGAAAACGGTGGGAGAGAGGAGAGAGAGAGGGGAGGGGGAGGGGGTGGACAAACGGGACGAGCGACGTTTGACGAGAGAGAGAAACTCTCTCGATAAATAAATCGAATTGATGCATTGCGCGTATCCGGCAAAAAGTTCGCCGGTGGCGCGCTGTTAAATCAATAGCGACTCGATTGTGATTGTATAAAAAAAAAAAAAAAAAAAAA